AATCCTAAAGTAGAGTTCATATTAGGATTTTGCACCTGTGTGCATGAACCTTTCCTGGAACCTGGCAGACTTTATGCCGAGTCCTCCCGGCCTGTAGAAGGCACAAAAGAGCTTCTATTGTCACTGAGCATGCGCCATGGCTATCTTTCGCGGGATTGTGGCTGTGGCGTGGGAGTGCGCATGCGCGCCTGGGGCGGGCCATGCTATCAGCCGCCGGAAGAGGAGGAAAGACTAGGAGGCGAGCTCTGTCAGGGGCGGGACCAGGCGGTGTGAGGAGGGTCTGGCGGTGGAGGCCGGGCCATGCGGACAGGCTGGAGCTTGAGGCCGCCGGGGCCGATAGTGGTTGCGGTCGTGCTGCTCCTGAGCGGCGTGGGGCCGGCGTACGGCTCCGAGGATATCGTAGTGGGTTGCGGGGGCTTCGTCAAGTCGGACGTGGAGATCAACTACTCGCTCATCGAGGTGAGCGCCCGCCCCGCGGCCCAGCCTGCGCGCTGTGTGACGCCAGGCCAGTCGCTCAGCGTCTCTGGGCCACGGTGGCCTCTGTTCTAATACCAGGCAATTACTGCCATACCCAGGTTCTGAGATTCCTTTTCTCTTTCAAGGTTCTGCTCTCTGTTGGCTCCTCACCACCCTTTTGCAGTCGCGCTAGAGCGGAGGTTGTTATCGTGGGGTGGGGATGAGGGACATTTTTGATGACAAGTGATGGTGGCTCATAACTTTAATCAGACCACTCCAAATGGAGATTCCCCCCAAATCTAGACCACAGAATCTTCAAAAGACAAATTCCAAATCCGCAGAATCCAGACCCAGGGCCATTCCAGAGCTTTAAAACTCAGTCTGCAGAACCCAGACCCCTCGGGACTCAGGCCCCAGGGCCCTCAGACGAGTTCCTCTGAAAGTCAGATCTCCCAAAACCCATATTCCTGAACTGAGAGATGACAACTTTATTCTTTAACAGTGGCCTGTACCAACAACAACAAATCCAAACTCTGGCCTGTACTGGCCCTATTCTAGAATTCCTCGAAGTATTTATTACACACTGCTCAACCAAACTCCTGGGGTACTTTAAAAAGATACTGATTCCAGGTTAGAGATCCTGACCCAATAAATCTGTGTGGGAATCTCTAGGGCTGGTAGTCTGTTTGCAATATGCCCCCTCCCCCCTTCATCTTGGGCCTCTTTTTCCTCTGAAAATGGAGAGTTGTCAGGTCCTTGAGTGCCTTCCTGTGTGGTGGTTGGACAGGCACTGTAGAGCTGTGTGTAGTAGTCTTTATGATGTACAGTCCTATTTTTTGTTAGAAGAAATGGGAATTGCTGGAGGTTGGGGTAAAAGGTCAGTTGTCAGGATATATGGGATGGGACCTGAGAAGGGTGAGCCTCTTTTGGGGTCTGATGATGGGAAAGAGAGCCTGAGAGAAGTGGCAGCAACATAGAAGAGGTGCTTGGGAGGTGTTTCGACAGAAAAAGAAGAAGCTAGGAGCTGCTGAAAAGAAGGGAGCAGGCAATAAGACCCCCAGAGTGGTCTGAAAGCACATTTGAGCGCTGTAGCAGTGAGGGTCAGAATCAGTGTGTTCTACAAAGCAGATTGCTGAGGACTGAGGAGGAGGGCTGGGATATAGGTCTTGCCCCCTCCTATCTCTTTGACCTGGCGGTGCTTGGACCCCCAATTTTCAGACCTGTGGGATGGTGAGGGGTATGTTGGGAGAGAAGCAGCAGAACCCAGCATTAAATATTTCCTAAAGAAGACAACCAGTTATCTTCAAGACCTCTGTCTGCTACTTCTCCCTCCTTTTTGCTCCTAAGAGGTTGGATGTTTAATCAGTCTACCCACTGGGGTGGTGGTGCTCCTAGAATCTCCTCCAGGTGCCTCTGCCACCTCCTGGGTTCACTTCCTGGTGTGTGAGTGTAGGCATTTCAGAAACTACCTTTCCTAACTTGTAGCTTCCTGGGACTCCAGGAGGGGCACTATCCCTTATCCTCAAGCAATCTAACAGTAATCCCAAGAACACAGAGCAGTTCTGTGACCCAGTGTGAAGGTGTTCTTGAACCCTACCTGTCCAAATGGTTTGAGACGTTCTTTCATAATTTCTGATTATAAAATCAGACATTTTATGTCTGTAATCTTGTAATTTAAAATGTTGTCCTGTGCCTTGATCTATACTTTATGAAATAAATGTAAATAATCAAGATATTTCACAATCATTTCTTGATTGTGTTTTTTGCATCCAAGTACACCTTCATTCTTCTCCAGCCTTCTTCCCTGCTGGATGATTTCACATAATTTTCATTCAGTCAGTAACAATGACTGGGCTCCTGCATTTGCCTCCTCTCGTCTTGTTGTTGTTGTTATGTGTGGTTGAATTGCACCCAACTTATAGCGACCCCTCTGTAGGTTTCTGAGGTGGTATCACTATGGAAGTAGATTGCCTGACCTTCTTCCGATGTCTCGTCTTTGGTGGGGTTATAGCAGTGCATTGAACAGAGCAGACAAAAATCCTTGCCCTCAAGGCACTAACGTTCTGCTCTTTGACAATGGCCTGTATTGTTAAAAAGAAAAATTATGTCTGTTGCCAGTACTTTAACAATCAGGAAATTTCACATTAAAAGAATGGATTTTGGCTTCTCAAAACCTTAAGGGCTCTTTGGGCTGTAAAACTTGATTAGGAGTAAGTAGTGACCTGTCTTCTGTTTAGATGAATGCTCATTGACATTAATTACCTGGCCCCTCTACCAGTTGCCATGGAGTTGATTGTGACTTGTGACTCCATAGGATTTTCAATGGCTGTCTTTTGGGAATGGGTCACCAGTCCTTTCTTCTGAGGCATGTTTGGCTGAGTTCAGACTTATGTTCTTTCTTTAGGTTAGTGGCCAAGTGTGTTAACCTTTTGCATCACCCAGGGACTCCACTCTAGGCAGGTGTTTTCAATCCCTGCTGTAAATGCATCTATCTGAATTTCTTTATGCTCTTTAAACAAATTCACCAAATATGTATTGAGTACCTTAGCATCGTGGCTAAGGCACTTGACTGCTAACCAGTAGCATCGTGGCTAAGGCACTTGACTGCTAACCAGTAGCATCGTGGCTAAGGCACTTGACTGCTAACCAGTAGCATCGTGGCTAAGGCACTTGACTGCTAACCAGAAGGCTGGCGGTTCAAACCCACCAGCCACTCCTTGGAAGGAAAGTTGGGCATTCCTACTTCCGTAGTGATACTGCCTTGGAAACCCAAGGGGGGGTCGCTATGAGTCGGGGCCGACTCGATGGCAAACAACAACAACAACAACAACCTTTAAGTAAATAAGACTGTGTCTCAGGCACTGTGTAGCATACTCAGGAGAATAAACCATGGTCACTGCCCACAGGGGGCTTACAGTCTGTGCATTATTTCATGCTTTTCCTTTCCCACTGTGCATGTTGTGAATTTGTTGCTTTAAATATCGCCTTAGCTGGTAAGACTGGGACTCAGAACGCTTGACTGTCTCATTTCTGTTTCATGATCGTAGAGCGGTTTAGAGGTTATCTGACCCAGTTGCTTCCTTTCATAGAGGTAGAAACTAAGTCTCAGCATGGGTAAGCCATGCAGGTAGACTTAGAAAACTTTCCTTAAATTCATTCTGTGCCTTGCTAATTACATTGCGTTGCCTTTTTCTTCAGAGAGATGTTAAATAGTAATTCAAACTACTTTTTTATTGAGCCCACTGCTCAGTGCCAGGTGCTTACTATGCGTTGATGTGAATCTGCATGGGCACTCCGAACGGGAGGTGGCTATCTTTATACTGATGAAGAAATGGAACCTGAGAAGGGTAACTGATTTACCCAAGATCACATAGTATGTGGAAGACCCAGATACTTCATACTTGAGTATCTTCTTGCATTAATAGTTCATGTATGGAAATGCTCAGGATCTAAGAGTCTTAGAGAATCTTTGAGGAGAGGACATAGAATAACTGTCTTTTTGGTATGCTTTTGTCCTGAGAATGAAAGTAAAATAGAAAATTAAAAGTTTCTAGACAAGTGTTGGGAGCTCTGGTAGCATAGTGCCTAAGGCACTTGACTGCTAACCAGAAGGCTAGCGGTTCAAACCCACCAGCCACTCCTCGGAAGGAAGGTTGTGCAATCTACTTCCTTAGTGATACTGCCTCAGAAACCCAAGGAGGGGTCGCTATGAGTCAGGTCCGACTGGACGACTGGATGGCACATAACAACAACAACAGACAAGTGTTACTCAAGTGTTTGGGGTTAAGAATGCAGATCCCTGGCCCTCCTTCCACACCTTCTAGTTGAGACCTGAGATGGGGCCCAGGAATTTGCATTTTAACAAGCACTTTACTAACAATAGAATGAAAAGTTTCTGTTTTAGATCCAGATGCTTCTGTGAACAGCATAGAGATAGCCACTAAAATTAACTGAAAAATTTAGACAAATAGGACTTTTGGTGTGGGCTTTAGATGGTTTCTTATCTGGAAAATATTGAATCACATTATTTTAGGAATACTTTGTCTTATTTCAGGGAGTTCTGGTGGCACAGTTTAAAGTATTCGACTGCTAACCAAAAGGTCTGTAGTTTGAACCCACCAGCCAACTCCGTAGGAGAAAGATGAGGCAGTCTGCTTCTTGAAAGATTTACAGCGTTGGAAATTCTATGGGGCAGTTCTACTGTGCCCTATAGGGTTGCTATGAGTTGGAATCAACTTGATAGCAGTGGATTTAGTTTTTTTGGTTGTCTTATTTCTCTCTGTCCCTAATACCTAGTGTTAATCGCAGGCATATAGTATGTCCTCAGCAAATCTGCTTCAAAAGATCTCTTTAAAATGTTAAAAAGCAAAGATGTCTCCTTCCCCACCCCCCACCCCCTTTTTTTTAAACTTCTATTGTGATTTGGGTGAAAGTTTACAGAGCAAATTCATTTTCCATACTGCAGTTCCTACACATTTTGTTTCATGACATTGTCTGCAATTCCCCACAATGTAACAGCTCTTTTTTTGTTTTGTTTTGTTCTGTTTTTATTGTGATCTGGGTGAAAGTTTACAGAGCAAATTCATTTTCCATACTGCAGTTCCTACACATTTTGTTTCATGACATTGTCTGCAATTCCCCACAATGTAACAGCTCTTTTTTTGTTTTGTTTTGTTCTGTTTTTATTGTGATCTGGGTGAAAGTTTACAGAGCAAGTTCACTTTCCATACAGCAGTTCACATACACTTTATGTCATGACATTGACTACAATTTACCCAAATGCAATAGCTTCCCTCCCACTAGCTCCCCTCCCACCTTCCTCCTGGTAGTTACCTCTTTCCTGTGTCTATCCCTCCATGCACTCCTGCCCCCTGAGCTGTCTCCCTGTGCATAAACAGCCCTTCTTTCTCCCACGATTGTTCTCTCCAAGGCCTGTATCTACCTCAGGTAAATGTTCAACTCATATGCCTGTCTTTTCTTTGGCTGGAAGCCATAGGTATAGGTTCAATTCCAGACCTGAAGGGCAGCTAGGGACCATAATAGTCTCATTGGTTCCACCAGGCTCTATCAGATGAGCAAACCTGGTCCCTTTCTTTTTTTCCCCCACATGATTTTGAGTTTTGTTTCACATTGTTCTCCCTCTCTATCCAGGATCTCCTACATAGATCCCCCTCCAGGTGGTTGACGGTGGTAGCCAGGCACTGTCTGGTCGCCTTGTCATATAGGCTGCAGATAGCATGGTGCACCAGTTGCTAGGACCAATTATTTCCATGAATCTTTGGTTTTCTTCATTCATCTTTGCTGTGGTTGAGGAGAGACCCATAGTTGCATCTAGATGGCTGCTTGCAAGCTTTTAAGATCCCAGTCACTATTCACCAATGTTTTGTGTAGTATGTTATGCCAATTAAGCTTGATGTCCCCTGTGACTATGGTCCTGAGCCCATAGGTTCAACTACTCGCTCCCTCTGGGTAGCTGGCTGTGACCAAGAAATGACTACAGCCTTGTCCCTTGTCAGCTCTACTATACACCTGGAAATTCTTACAGAACATACAAATACACTTGTAGAACCATTGTCTGCCAACCCTATACGTGGTCTTGGGTACACTCCCCACTGCATAGACATACCTAATAGTTTAGCATGTCCACCCATCTATCCACCCATATACCCATGTTTGCCTTCACTGATAACGCAGTACTGTATGTGCAAAAGGGTTCATCTTTGTTGTCTGTACCTCCCATGCACCTTTCTATGTCTTCCTCTTCCTCAGTCCCACCATGTTGTAATAGCTCTCTTCCCACTTCCTCCTCATATTTAGCAATTCCCTGTGTCCTTCCCTCCCATATACTCCTACGGCCCAAACTGTCTCCCTGTGTAAACACTGTCCTTCTGTTCTCCCATGTTGATCGCTCCAAGGAGTCTATGAACAAAATGTTTGTTGACAGAATAAATTAAAACTTAATTTATGTCATTAACTCTCAATGGCAGTAGGATAACTTTTATTCTTTTCTTCCTTTACAGATAAAGTTGTACACCAAGCATGGGACTTTGAAATACCAGACAGACTGTGCCCCAAACAACGGTTACTTTATGATCCCCTTGTATGATAAGGTAAGAGGAAAGGGCACATCAGTCTTTATCGCTCCACTTTGATGGGAGTACTGTGCTCTACAGGTCTGAGCTTGCCAGGAGAATGGCCTCTCCTACATGAGCAAATGGCTCATCTGTTTTCTAAAGTATAAGTGGAATAGAGAAATGCTGGCCATATTCTGAGGAACACAACTTATAAACTGGTGTGATTTAATGCATCTGTTCTGATTGTCTCCTGGGACATGTGGCAATGTCTAGAAACATTTTTGGTTGTTAGACTGGGAGATGAGTGCTACTCAATCTAGCGAGAAACCAGGGATGCTACCAAGCATCTGTATAGTGCACAGGATAGCCCAGATGTCAGTAGTTTTAAGGTTGCCAAACCATTTACTAGCAAGCAGTCTAAATTATATTAAGAAAAATTATACAAGTAATATGTGAATTTGTGAGCTTTGTGGAAAAAAGTCAAGTGCTTTAGAAGTATATGAAGTAAATTCCCACCTCGCTCTAGGTGGGAAGTTTTATAATTTTTTTTATGCTCTCTAGGTATAAAATTTTTATATCTCTGATAAAAATTTTGGTATGCATCCTAACTGCCTTCTCTGTGTTTATAGTTAGATAAAACAACAAAACCAAATCCACTGCCATTGAGTGAATTCCAACTCATAGCAACCCTATGGGACAGGCAAGAACTATCCAATAGGGTATCTAAGGCTGCAGTCGTTACAGAAGCAAACTGCCTCATCTTTTTCCAGTGGAGTGGCTGGTGGGTTAGAACCACCAACACTTTGGTTGGCAGCCAAATACCTTAACCACTTCACCACCAGAACTCCTTTATAGATAGATAGATACCCACAAGTACACATGCACACACATACATGCAACACACACAGATGCCTGTGCTTATGTGTATCTGTGCATACCCCCATTTACACATCTCCATCCTCACATTCCTGCATACATAGCTTTTTTTTTTTTTTTTTAAATTGTGATTTGGGTGAAAGTTTACAGAGCAAATTCACTTTCCATATAGCAGTTCACAACACTTTGTCTCATTACATTGACAATAATTTACCCCAATGCAATAGCTCCCCTCCTACTTCCTCCTAATAGTTACCTCTTCCCTGGGTCCATCCCTCCATGCACCTCTGCCCCCTGAGCTGTCTCCCTGTGCATAAACAGCCCTTTTTTCTCCCACGATTGTTCTCTCCAGGGAGTGTATCTACCTCAGGTAAATGTTCAACTCATATGCCTGTCTTTTGTTTGGCTGGAAGCCACAGGTGTGGGTTCAGTTCCAGATCTGTAGGGGCAGCTAGGGGCCATAGTCTCGTGGTTCCACCGGGCTCTATCAGACCAGCAAATCTGGTCCCCCTTTTTTTTCCCCCAAATTATTTTGAGTTTTGTTCCATATTGTTCTCCCTGTCTACATACATAGCTTTCTAAAAAACTTTCTAGTTTGATGCAATTATAAATTCACAGGAAGTTGTAACAGTAGTCAACATACATCATTCTGGTTTTGATTTTATTATACATATGGAATCATGTAATAGGAATTAGCCTGTAATTTGATATTACCCCTCATGGTGATATCTTGGCATGCTTACAACAGGAGCACATAGAGATTATGTGTCTTTCTAATGGCTGGTAGCATTTCAGAGTCAGGTCACAACTGTAATTTATGTGACTACTTCTTTAATGATGGACTTAGGAGCTTTTTAGATTAAAAATTTATTACTGACAACACAGCAATAAATACTCTTTATGTACAATGCATACAATTGATTTCTGAAGGTGCACTTGCTGGGTCTTGTTATTTAAAAATAAAAAAACTATAAATACCAATCTCAAGATGGTGGGGTTGATAAGGGGATGAAGGAATTAAGATACCTAGTTTAAGAGATGACTCTAGTTCCTAAAGATCCACGCTAACTCCTGCAACCTTAGGCATGTGAGGGATTCAATTAATAGAATATTTGGTATCACAAGACAATCAGTGGTTGAATAAAGTGTCTTTACTCACACACAGTCTTCAGCATGGTATCTGAATGGGAACTTCTGGTGTTTAGCTTCAGCTTGCATCACCTAAAGGGAATTAAGGAATTTCTAAATTTTACATGTATAGATTGTATCAAACTAACTTAAACCAGTTAAAGGGTCACCAATTTTCATTCCTTTAAATTAAAATTTTTTCCCCTTTTAGGGAGATTTCATTCTGAAGATTGAGCCTCCCCTGGGGTGGAGTTTTGGTGAGTTAATTGAATACTCAGACATACTCTGTAAGAGATTAGATTATGTGCTGAATATTAAATTGGCAGAGTGTGTGGACTTTTAAAATGTGAAGGATTCACTGCTAGTGTGGAAAAGTTTTTTCTTCCTCCTGGTCATCTTAGAGTAGTTTGGATTTCCCTTCAGTCTACGTTAAGCCTTCCTGTCATCTTTCTTAAAATAGGCATCTTTGCTTGTACTCCCCTCAGGACCTTCTGCTTCTGAAGTTTCATTACGTCACAGTTGAACAGTATAAAGGTAGGAAGGGGAACTGTTCCTGTCCCAGGGCAGCTTCTTTCTTAGCCTCCTCAGTTTTTCTTTTCTTTATTTAATGAATGAATTGTGACATTTAAAAATGATGAGATTTGTACAAGGTTAGCCTCAACTGAGCCTATCCTTGGTCTAGAGTAAACCTCTATTCACTGACCCCTGTCTGATCTTGTACAGACACCAGTGATACAAAATACCTGCAGTCCTTACAGAAACAATAGGAGACAGACACAGAGTAAACCCTCACAGACATCCTGACACAATGGGAGAGAGATCCAATAGATCTACTACCTCAGGACCATAGTACTGGGATATACCAGACTCAATTGACATAACAAAATGCATAAAAGCGTTGCTCCACATCCTACATTGGTGAGTAATGACTGGGGTCTTAAAAGCTTTCAAGCAGCCATCTAAGATGCAGCTAATGGTCTCCTAGCATCGGAAATGAAGAA